AGAGTCTCACTTTATCACCCTTGGTAGAGTGCTGTAGTGTCACACAGCTCACCGCAACCTCCAACTCCTGGGCTGAGGTGATTCTCTTGCCTCAGCCTCCCGAGTAGCTGGGACTATAGGCACCTGCCACATCGCCTGGCTAGATTTTGTTGCAGTTTGGCTGGGGCTGGGTTTGAACTCACCACCCTCAGTATATGGGGCTGGCGCCCTACTCATTGAGCCATGGGCACTGTCTGGGCTTTGCATTTCTTTTATTTCTTTTTTTTTTTTTTTTTTGGCCAGGGCTGGGTTTGAACCCACTACCTCCAGCATAAGGGGCTGGCACCCTACCCTTTTGAGCCACAGGCGCTGCCCTGGATTTGCATTTCTAAAACATAGCCAAGTGCTGGTTCTGGTCTGGAGACCAATCTTTGAGAACCATTAGTCCAGTGTTTTCTAAGAACCTTTTAACAACTTTGGCCTCAACCCTTATTCAGATGACAGAATCTTTGGACCTGGAAAGATGAAGTCATCTCTGAGGACTCTGAAAATCCAGTGGGGACTCCTGCAAGGGACCCTGCTCTGTGCCACATTTGTCACCAGATGCCTCTAAGACCCAGTCACTGCCCAGGGAAAGACAAAGGGTGGAAAGAGTGATGACAAGCAAGCTATAGTCTGGGTTCTATCCCTTAACACCTGTGTGGCCTTGAGCAAGTAACTAAATCCCTTCCTGCCTCAGTTTCCCCACCTATAAAAAGAGGACAGTGACAGCACTTACATGACCTGGCATAAAGAAAATGCTCAGCACAGTGATTTTTGGGTCACTATTTGTTACCAAGTCTGCCCAGTGAGGGGAATGGCAGTGACGGAAATGATCCCCACTCCCAGACCACACCCTTCTTCTCCACAATGCAACTCCATCCAGCCTGGATCCCTACTCACCAATTTCAACCCCCTCACAAAATCCAAAACAGACGATGAGAAAAAACCCCAATATAATTTATTAAATAGATTCCATGGGCTCCTCCAAGGAGCATTAATAACTCAGTACAATAAATATCAATAAATTAACAAAGCTGCCAGCACCTGCCCTCACAAGGAGATGGTGACAGTAAGGTTTAAGACTGCAGAGGAAAAACATTCCATAAATACCAAGACTAATAACGATAATAATCATTTTCAAGTTAATTCCTAAACGTCAATCTCAACCCTCCTGACAGTGGTCCATCTGAGGGTTCATTGGGATTATTCACTGGAAAGATGTACTTCATGAATCACGGCAGAGTTCTCACCTGGAACTGTCAGTCATTTTTTAAGGCTTCGTAAGTTCCTGCCATTCCAAAAGGAATAGGTCTTAGGTGGCCTGTTGGGCTTCACAGTTAAATGACTTACATACAAGATCCATGCACTCTGAAAACTGTTTTAAGATAGTCAAGATGAAGCGTTTTTTTTCAAAGGCATTTTCAGGCACAGAAATGTTTGTTTCTGATGCATTTTGAGGTGCGAGTTTGTCGAGATGTTCTATGATTTCACCAGTAGTAGTTGTGTTATCGATTAATGGTCCGATCGTCTTGAGATATGTCTGAACGGCTGAGATGTTGATGTTGTTTGGCGGGTGGGCATTGGGGATGAAACACGGTAGTGTGTAACTTGAGGATGTTGGCAGCCCCTTTTCTTCCTTTGTAGAACAAGGAGAAGAAATGGGGAGCATTAGATTTGTAATACAACTAGAAATCCTAACAGCTAATGCTCAGTGTTTCCTCTGTGACCACCTGCTTCCTACCTTATCTAATCAGTGTGACAACCCCATGAAGCTATGACCATCATTGTTCCCCTTTCAGCTGGTTTATAGAGCTGTCCCAAGGTTGAGGAGCAGACCCTGCATCCTAGCCCAGGTGTGGTGCAGTTCTGAAGCCCATGCTGATAACCACTGCTCTGTCCTGCCTCCTCTGCTCCATCAAGCTCAGGTCTCCACAACCTTCTGAAATCTGCTTTTAAGTACTGGGGATGGGTAGGAGGAGGGAATCAGAGCACATTTGGGCTAACCTTTGATTTGACCCCTTCTTGAGTGCTTTTTTTTTTTTTTTGGAGACAGAGTCTCATGTTACCCTCAGTAGAGTGCTGTAGCATCACAGTTCACAGCAACCTCCAACTCTTGGACTTAAGCGATTCTCTTGCCTCAGCCTTCCAAGTAGCTGGGACTACAGGCCACAACGCTGGGATATTTTTTTTTGGTTGCAGTTGTCATTGTTGTTTAGCAGGCCCAGGCTGGGCTCAAACCCGCCGGCTTCAGAGTATGTGGCCAGCACCCTACTCCCTGAGCTACAGGGGGCTTCGTGAGTGCATCTTTACACTTATAAAAATGTCATCTGGAGGCTCAGCACCCGGAGTACAGTGAATACAGTACTGGCCACATGCACCAAGGGTAGCAGGTTCGAACCTGGCCTGGGTTTGCTAAACAACAATGACAACTGCAACCAAAAATTAGCTGGACATTGTGGCGGGTGCCTGTAGTCTCAGCTACTTGGGAGGCTGAGGCAAGAGAATTGCTTAAGCCCAAGAGTTCGAGGTTGCTGTGAGCTGTGACACCATTGCACTCTACCGAGGGTGACCTAGTGAGACTGTCTCAAAAAAAAAAAAAATGCCATCTTGGCCTATCTAATTGTCCCCTGTTCCTTCCTGTATATCCATAACCCTAACTTTGGGTCTGGAAAGACGAGCTTCTTCTTGGGGGCAATGGAGGGCATTTTTAAGAAATTGGAAAAGAAATCTCTAGGGCACTTACGAAGTTTTCCAAAAGTTCATTCGACAAGAACTGCAATTCCTTGACTATACCCTTTTCTGCGTTTGGTTGTAGAGAACGGATAGGAGACATGTGGGAGCTCAGCCAGCTTCCCACACAGCAGAGCAGAAACAGGGCAGACTTCGTGGGTCCTAGAGAAAGAGCAGCGCTGTGAGGTGCATGGATCTGACTCCTCTGCCCACCCCAGCTCCATCGCCGAAGCCCCCCTTCCAGACTCTTCCTCCCTGGCCAGGTAAGACCATGCACAAGACACAGCAGGCCCCAGAGCAGAAGCACTACCTGTACCTGTGCGAGAAACCATGGCAAGTGAGCACGAGGCCTGCGTCCGTGGCAGCTTCTGGAGCCAGATGAGTTCGCCATGGAAGCCGAGAGATATTTAAAGGGCCAGCGTGAGGAAGAAGAATAGTCACTGTCCCGCCCATGGCAAAATCATTGCTTATCTTTTCTCCAGAAAACACTTTCAAAATTCTGCCGGCAAAGGCTGAGAGAAAGCAGGGCTGGAAGGAAATGCTGAGGTTACCCTCAAGGTAGCAGATGCCTGACTCAGTGCAAACGCACACACACTGCACAGGAAGGCACGCACGCCTTTGCCAGTTCTTGGAAAGAGTTTGTCAATTTGACTAGACAAAAATTTGAAGCCCAGGCACAATTACAAAGGAACTTGTGATTTATAGGAGTTGAGGGTCAGTGCCCCACAGGGAATTTCTAGGGTGGTCATGCTGAATGTGTGGAGGTGCAGAGCTCCGTGCAATGTGTAGAAAGTGATGTCTTTGGAAACTTCTGCAGCTTGCCCATGCTAGTGGGTGAGAATGGCCCCCTAGTCTTGAGTGGGAGTGAGCATGGTGAACCCAAGGCTGCAGCTCCACTCCACTGGGCCTTCAACACCCCTGGGCTCTCAACTGTGTCTTTGCAAACCCCAGGCCCAGCACCAGAATCTATGCTCACCACTTGTTTGTTGATGTCTTTTATTCATATTTCAGGTGCCAGCTTTGACCATGCCCTCTTCTCGGGTCTCAGGAATGGCAGGGAATGAGTTAGACAAAGTCCCTGCCTTCCTGGAGCTGGTGTCGTAGTGGGGAAGGGACAGATAACAAACAACATTCATCAATACATAACAAAGTACCAGGCAGCAATAAGAGCTATAAAAATAAAACAAGGTGGGACAGCGCCTATAGCTCAGTGGGTAGGGCCCAGGCCACATACACCGAGGCTGACAGGTTCGAACCCCACCCAGGCCAGCTAAAACAACAATGACAACTGCACAAAAAGGTAGCCAAATGTGCCAGGTGCCTGTAGTCCCAGCTACTTGGGAGGCTGAGGCAAGAGAATCACTGAAGCCCAAGAGTTTGAGGTTGCTGTGAGCTGTGACACTACAACACTCTAGCCCAGGCGACAGCTTGAGACTCTGTCTCAAATAAATAAATAAATAAATAAACAAAAGAAGGTGATGGTTTGTGCTGTGAAAAAATTTAAAGATAATTAATTAAATTATTTTCAAAAGAAGTTCAAGCATAGGAAGTTATATATACTTTTTAAACTTTTTTTTTACATATACACGTGTTTATTAGGTTTCCACTTTTCGCCTTCACAAAATTAAAAAGGCTTAAAATTTAATAACAATAACAAGGTTTAAGATAAGGACTAGAAACAAAAACCTCGTAAAGAACGAACAAATGAATGAAGTTAACTGATGACTCCACACTGAACCTGAGTCAAAGCATTCTATAATAGACATACTCTTATCTGACAATGTGAATGTTACTTTCTTTGCATTACTATTATTATTGCTTAATATTTCGATGCAGCAATTGTCTGATTTCTTTTCTGAATGTATTCATCTTTCTTTTTTTCTGAGACAGAGTCTCACTCTGTCACCCCCGGTAGAGTGCCATGGCATCACAGCTCACAGCAACTCTTGGGTTTAAACGATTGTCTTGCCTTAGCCTCCTAAGTAGCTGGGACTATAGGTGCCCACCACAACACCCAGCTATTTTTTGGTTGCAGCTGTTGTTGTTTAACAGGCCCAGGTCTGGCTCAAACCCACCACCTTCAGTATGTGTGGCTGGCATGCTATTCACTGAGCCATGGGTGCCAAGTCTTTCCTCTTTCTTTTGATCAACATAATTTAAGTGCTGTAGAAGTTTAACTATAGATTCAAGTGTGCCATGAGATACAAAAGGTTGAAAAACACTGGGTTAGAGAGTGACAGGTGAGATACTTTAAGTCAAGTGACCAAAAAAAAAAAAAAAAATCTATCTGAAGAAGTGACATTGAAGCTGAAACCTGTTCCAAGCAGAGGACAGTAGTGCAAAAGCACTCAGGCAAAAGTGAGCTTGACTGTTGTTATTGGTAGCTGGAGCGAAGTCAGGCTGTGATAATGAACCTGGCTTTTATTCCAAGTATGATGAAGCACCCCTGCATGGTTTAGGTAGGGAAATATAGCAGAACCGGTGTACATGTTCGTTTTTTGTTTTTTTTGAGACAAGGTCTTGCTGTCATCCAGGCTCAAGTGCAGTCTCGTTGTCATAATTCACTCAGCCTCAAGCTCCTGAACTTAAGAGATCCTCCTGCCTCAGCCTCTTAAGTAGCTAGGACTATAAGCACGCACCACCACACCCAGCTTATTTTTTTTTCTTGAGACAGAGCCTCAAGCCATCCCCCTGGGTAGAATGCCATCATCACAGCTCACAGCAATCTCCAACTCCTGGGCTCAAGTGAGTCTCCTGCCTCAGCCTCCCAAGTAGCTGGGACCACAGGCGTCCGCCACAATGCCTGGCTATTTTTTTTTTTTGGTTGCAGCCATCATTGTTGTTTGGCGGGCTGGGCTGGATTCGAACCCGCCACCTTAGGTGTATGTGGCCGGCTCCTTAGCCACTTGAGCCACAGGTGCTGAGCCTTTTTTTCTACATTTTTAGAGACATCATGCTTTTCTTATATTGCCCAGGCTGGTCTCAAACTCCTGGGCTCAAGTGATTCTCCCATCTCAGACTCCCAAAGTGCTGGGATCTCAGGCATGATCCACCATGCCTAGCTCTGGTGTACTTTAAAAAGAAAGAAAGAGGCTCAGGGCCTGTAGCTGAAGCGGCTAAGGTGCCAGCCACATACACCAGAGCTGGTGGGGTCGAATCCAGCCTGGACCTGCCAAACAACAATGACAACTACAACCAAAAAATAGTGGGGCGTTGTGGTGGGCACCTGTAGTCCCAGCTACTCAGGAGGCTGAGGCAAAAGAATCACTTGAGCCCAAGAGTTGGAGGTTGCTGTGAGCTGTGATGCCATGGCACTCTACCCACAGTGACAGCTTGAGGCTGTGTCTCAAAAAGAAAGAAAGAGATAGGTTGCTGAGTGGAGAGTGGATGGTGGGGATCTAAGATGGAAGCAGGGGGACCTGTGAGGTTTTATAACAGTCTAGGTCTCAGATGACTGGTGCAGACCAGGACCAGGGTGCAAAGCATGGAGAACTGGCTGATAGACTGATGGAGAGATGGATTAAATAAATGAATCAAGCATGAGATCTGAGATTTTTCTTTGAGACAAGGTCTTGCTGTGTTGCCTAGGCTGGTCTCAAACTCCTGGGCTTAAGCGATCCTCCTGCCTCAGCCTCTTGAGTAGCTGGGACAACAGGCACCCATCAACACATCCCAGGGTTTCGATGAAGCAACTGGATGGATGATGTTCAGTGAGGAAAGAGAAGACTGGAGAGGGGACTCGAGAGTTCTGTTTATTTGTTTGTTTTTTTAATTGAGACAGAGTCTCACTTTGTTGTCCTTGGTAGAATGCTGTGGCATGACAGCTCACAACAACCTCCAACTCTTGGGCTCAAGCGATTCTCTTGCCTCAGGCTCCCTAGTAGCTGGGACTACAGGTGCCTGCCACAATACCTGGCTATTTTTTCTTTTAGCAGGCCTGGGCTGGGTTGGAAACTACCAGCTCTGGTGCATGTGGCCAGCGCCCTACCCACTGAGCTACGGGCGCCACTTTGTTTTGTTTTTTGAAACAGAGTCTCACTCTGTTGCTCCAGGCTAGAGTACCATGGCATCAAACCAACCTCAAACTCTTGGGCTCAAGCGATCCTCTTGCCTCAACCTCACCGGTAGCTGGGACAACAGGTGCCCACTGTGATGCCCAGCTAGTTTTTCTGTTTTTAGTAGAGATGGGGTCTCGCTCTTGCTCAGGCTGGTCTCTAACTCCTGAGCTCAAGGGATCCTTCTGCCTTGGCGTCCCAGAGTGCTGGGATTATAGGTGTGAGCTATTCTGCCCAGCCAAGATTTCTGTTTGGAATGAGTTAAGTTTGAGATGCCATTTGGATCCAATGGCATCCATTGGATAGGAGTCAAAAGGTCAGGGATGAGGTCAGGTCTGGGTGGTCCAGAAGAGACACAGCCAGGAAATCCCACATTTCCCTGAAGCCACTGCTGTATCTTTCTTCTTTCTTTTTTCTCATCCAAACTTTTTGACCTAGTGGTCCATGCTCACTTTTCTTCACTTCCACGTATCCCAAACCACCACAATATGGCTTCCACTCAACAATTTCATCAAATTCCCTTGGAAAAGTCCATGATAGGCAGGACTTTCACCTGCTGGTGTTTACTTCCATCATTGTATTACATAACATGGTAAAAGGGATTTTGTAGATGTAATGAAGCTCACTAACCAGTTAACTTTAAAAAAGACTATCCTGGTTTACCTGGGTGGGCCCAGCATAATCACAGGAGCCCTTAAACACAGAAGAGGGAGGTTAAAGAGGAAGGCAGAGAGTTTCCAAGTGTGAGAAGGATTCACCTGGCATTGCTGGCTTGAAGATGGAGGGAGCTTTGTAGAAGGCATGAGAAGGAAATGAATTTGGCCAATAACTGGTAAGCTTGGACAAAACCCTGAGCCCTAGATGAGAATCCTATTCCAAGCCAATATCTTTATTTTATCCCAGTGGGATCCTGAGCAAAGAATCTCTCTACCTACAAAATGCTGGACTTTTGACTCAGACATTAAGAGACAGCAAATTTGTGGTTTTAAACTGCTCAGTTTGTGGCATTTGTTACAGCAGCAGTAGGGAACTGATACTGTCCCCAGTGACCTCAAGTCACCAACTTTACTGGGTTTTCTCCAGCCTTCAGCTCAATTGACCCTTCCATGACAGGTGGTAATGTCAACCACTTCCATCTTCTCAACAGCCTCTTTTCCTCTCCTTCCATCACAAGATTATCCTGACGCAATTGGCCTCTGACTGCACCTTCTCTGTGTTCCAGGCTGGATCACCTGCCATCTTAACCCTTGAATAGACATAATCTCTGCCATCTCCAC